CACATTGAATATAAGATCACATACTTTAAAGACCTTATAACCATATAAAAAAAATCAAATTTGCTTTTAAAGGAGAAAACAAAAACGAATATCATTTTATGAGTTTTTAATATAGTTCCTGTAAAAAACATTACATTTAAAGAAACATAAAAAAAGGCATATGAAATAGATTAACTAGCACAGATTTGAGAGTGCGTTTACATAAACTTTTTATTGATTTTCTTATGTTGAGTAAGTTGTACTCGTAATGCACATACATTTTGGCTGTGAAAATTCAAATCATATCTTTTTATCATTATATATCTTTTCAAGGATAGTTTACTAGCACAAGTATCTCCAAACCAGTTCTTCACTCCATTATTTGGATTTGATTCTCATAATTGCATCAACTAGAATGCACATAAAAAGTGGATAAATGCAAAGTCAAAAGATGAGAAGACCAGCCAAGTTCTATTTCAAAAAATGAAACCATACCATCTTGTTGATCAGTAGGTGATTGAAGAAACTCGTTGACACAATACGTATGGCGTTGATAAATTAATCGTTTGAAAAGAAATTCGTGTTTTGATTCAGTGACAAGATTATGAATGTAAAATGTGTCTGTATATATACAAGAGCGAAGGCAAAAGTTATCATATAAGTTTAATCATTGCAAATCACTAAAAATTCTCTCATCTTGTTGTTTCGTATCTCTTAAACTTCAATGAAATGCATGTACACATAGAACTTCCACAAAGGGATTACATAAGATGCTTATGTCTAAGCTTTCGTTCAAAGGTGTCGAAGCAGTGTTCTTGATGACTCGAGCAGGCTGGGATTCAATTTTGATATTTGAATCTATTGTGAGGTTTGTACTAAAAAACTCTAGGATTTGAAAACTTTACATGCATCCATATTAAAAACCTCACGATAGATTAATATTTGGTGAAGATAGATTCATATCCTAAAGTTTTAGAACTGCTTCTCAAGAAAATTTGTCTAGAACTTACGATCTATGCTATGAATTGTCCCTGACTCGACAAAAGTAGCATCTAAAATGTACTTTATGTCTGTTGTTTCATTGTCATAGCTTGAACCCAAGGACGGCAATGAAGGAGTGTCACATAAGCAGTTGCATAATGCGCTTTTTTCATTAATTCTTATTGTAAAAGGACCCTAAAGTTATTAAAATTATACAAGAGCCCTAAAATTTATTAAATATAGACCAAATGTTTTTGATTTTTTTTTTGGCACATGGCCTATTTTCACATTGAGCCACCCCTGCTTGAACTGTATGTTATACCGCAATCTATACTGATAAAACCTACAATCTTGGCACACATATAGAGATTAAAAGCCTTGAAACGCAGCCATATTTAGACATTTGCAAGACTTTATGTACCTGATTGGTCTTGAGCTTGAGCATGAACAAGAAGAAGAAAAAAACCGCGAAGAAGCTTGCGAATGCAATCAACGGAAGAAAGTTGTAACGCACCATTAGTGACAAGCTCTTGATTAGCGCTTTCTCTTAGAAAAACTCAATACCATTGTCTTCTGCAATGCTTATGCAAAGCTTGATTGTTTCTCCAAAGATTTTAAAGATTATTCAATAGCCATGTTGGTTGATGGCGAACCACTCTCTTGAAATCAAATACTAAAAATGCTTTCAAGCTAGGTTGCATGGAAACTCCGTCTGAGCAGCGTTTTCCGTTTCAGAAACCGAAAAATCCATGGAAACGCGTTTCCTAATAAATTTTAATTTGGAAACGCGTTTCCTAAAATATTTTAATTTGGAAACTCGATGGAAACATTAATATTTTAATTTGGAAACGCGATGGAAACTCGATTCCTAGAGATCTCAAATTAGAAATATGACGAAAATGTTCGATTTCGTTTTGGAAATGTGATGAAAAATTGTTTCTTAATAACTAAACAAGGTGATTCTTCTGCGTACACCCGGGTAAATTACTTAGGCAGTTTTGTTTTTAATTTTAGTCTTTAAAAATGTGAAATATGTAGTTGTTTTGATTTTTATTATAGACATTATTGTTGATTATTTTTTTTTAATTTTTTTGGTCAATAAAATCGTTTTTATTAATAATATGAAATTCAGAAATTTAGTTTTACCATTTAATTATTTTATATATGTAAACTGTAAAATCTAAATGTATAACAATTTAATACATTAGAGTTAAGAAAATCTATATTAAATTTGTCTTGTCCAAATATTTTAAATAGAATTTAGAATACAAATAAATTCTTTAATATTTTAAAACATTAAAATATATAATCATAAATTTTATAAATGAAACACATATTATATATTTTATAAATGAAATACAGATTTAAAAAAAAAGAATTGTTGCTTTCGAATTAAAAAATATTTTTTATTCCTTGCAAGTTGTCTTGCGTTAAAAAAAAAATTTGAAAAGAATAATTATATTTGTTGTTATAAACTTGGAAAGTTATTTTCACAAACATATCAAAATCTCTTTTAAAATTTTGGTAATTCTTTATTATTATTTTCAAAAAGAATATATATTCTATAAAAATGTTCTATAATTTTATTATTACAATAATCAATTTTTAAACTATTTTTAAATGAGAAACCAAATTTTATATAATTTTAGAATAAAAATGAAAATCTGATAATACATTGGCTAAAAACTCTTTTGATTTATTTATGGTAACAATTATAAATTTAGTTGTAAAATTTTTTATTATTGATTCAAAATTGCCATATCACAATTTTCACAAGCCATATCACAATTGTTTTGGTGAGAGTGATTATAGAGATGACACATAAGTATCTTCTAAAAAATCACTTTCCAATTAATATATAAGGGATATTTTGGAAATGGAGGGATATATTTATAAGTTAAAAACAACAAAATTATGAAAGATTGCGTTTGAATATAGGTTAAAAACAACAAAATTATTATATGTTTGGCTTTTGTTAAGCTATTTAATATTCATGTACAGGCCGGCCCGTGGTGTGTGGGAAGGTAAAGCAAAAAAAAAAAAATTTGCAACCATGTCGGTCGAACTCACGACCTATGAAGCCCAACCCCTCTATTTTAACCACTGCACTACAAACGATTTTTACAAAATAATGTCCTACAAATTTATATTTATTGTGATGTCTGAAACCCTTGTTTGTTGGATTTTATGTCAGGGCCGACCCTGTTCATGTATATAATTTGTATTGTTCAAATTGTTTTAAATATTATTTTTGATGTTGTTGATTCA